GTAAATCACAGTAGATATCTGCTTAAAATACCTTGCCTGTCAGCAGGATTCCAACCTGCATCTTATGCTATAAATATATTTGAAACGATGTGAATGTTGGTCAGTGGACTAGAGTTCAGATTATCAACAATATTTTCTGTGTCAGTAATTTTATTTTCAGCAAGTGTTTAGCTAATTTTAGCTTTGTTTTAAAAATATTCAAATAGTTGTGTTGTAGTTGTTGTTGTTGTAAAGTAAATGAATGTTACTTAGCGCAGGAAAACAAATAACATTTTGAGACGTGTCATTGAAAAAATGTAAGAAATATACTGTAAAATACTTTATTTTAGCTGGAATTAATTTTCGCTGAAAAGACATTTTTGGTGTTTTGTATGGAATTTATTTTCATTGATTTTTGACAAGTTGAATGTAAAATATTATTTTCACTGAATCATTCCTTCAGCGAAAATAGCGAAAATTAATTCCAAGGGAAAATAAAGTATTTTACAGTAATTAAATTTGAAGATGAAAACTTTTTTTTTTAAATTTTATTAAAAATAGTGAGAAGTTTAAAAGAACTTTAATTGTTTAGCGTAATAGTTGAGATACTTGATTAAACTGAAATTGAAGATATAAGATATGGACCGTTTCAGTGTTGGAGTTAAAGACTACTTCGAACTCAGAGTTGAAAGTTATTGACTAAAGGAACGGCTGAAAGCCTGGTGAAGGCATATCACTTGCATCTTTGCCTTCTATCGTGGATACCTAATCTACGTGATGACAACTACTATGGCAACAGATGCCGTTTACAGATTCCTTTCTGTCTGGGCCCCTTAACTTACTTGTAATTAGACTTTTAAAAGTCCTTTTCTGCAAGATCACATGAGGTTTTTTTCCCCCCTAGTGGCTGGACTTAGTGACGTTTTTTTTTTTTATTTTCCATATGAAGTTATGTTAGCATGTTAAAATTTATTACATTTTTAAGGTGTGTGTGTAATTTTTCATTTTTTCAAAGTAATTTTATACAATATTTGTGTGGTTTAGTATTGAGAATTGTGCAAGTTTGGTTTGACCTGTATTTGTATCGATAGCACAGCCGTCTGCAAGATGTTTGTGCATGGGTGATTTTCTCGAGAGGCTTGATGTATTTTTCCAGATGAACTACCACTAGTTTAAAATTATTTTTTGCCCCGAAGCAGAGCAGTCCAGCCCAAGTAAATCTCAGCCTCTGGAAGGCATTTGAACTTTACCCAGGCCCTGATGTAAATATTTGGTGGATTATGTCACTAAATGTGAGAAAATACGCATGTTGTATTCCCAGATGAGTCCGGGACAGTAAAAAGACACTGTGGAAGTTCTTCACTGGGAATGTTTGGAACAAACAAGCTGTTGGAAAATATGTGGATTTTTTTGGTTCATAACAGGCAATCATTAACAGAGCGAAATTAATACTTGGTTACACATTTTCAGATTATCGTGTAATTGCACTCAATTATATTCATGCCATACGGGGGAAAAATACCAATAACTAAAAATAAATTTTGTAATATATTATTGGTTGTGGTTACAGATTTTTAATATCCCACTTGTCCATTGAGTAACAAAAAATCCTTCTATTCTGATTTTTTTGTTTTTCTTTTCGAAAGGTCATGCCCGAACCATTCATTGGAAAAAATTCATTATG